CAAAGCAAAGCAATTATAACAACTATGAACGGTTCGTTGTTGACACACGTTGTAATCACAAGATATTAAGCTGCATTTCTCATCAGCTAAGATTAGGTACTACGGCTAATCAGCATCAGTATACTCAAATTTACAGGAGCCTTGGTCACGCGGATACACAGGCCGGATTTGTGCGTCCAAAGGCGGGCGGTCTGCTCGGTATGGCCAAATTTGTATGACGCATATCTTTTCAGTCAGCGAACACCACAAGCCTAGTTACTGTGATCCTCACCCCGATTTCGAATAGTCCAGTCCTCTAAAGAGTACAGAGTCACGTGATCTGACCTTTCGATCATCTAATTTGGCGCAGAATCTCCGTACCTACTCCGTTCCCTCGTGGAAAAACTAGTGCGGATAATTTATGCATTGCTTTCGTTCACGCTAATCCACCTTTGTGAAACAGACTTACTGAGTGGACTTTGGTTCAAGGGGAAAACACAGTGAAATTAAAACCAGAAATAACATGCCTCATGTCATTTACTTCGGTTCCACGCCTGTGCTGGAACTAGCCGGGAAAGATTTCATCATAGGATTAATACACCTTTCAAATTATTTGCAAGATTTTCATTGCTAGCACTACTTATTGTTCTCTTTGAGTGAATCCGCAAATGTTGACAGACCTATAATTTCAAATCAGCTGATTGTCTATGTTTAAAGTATTTTGATCCAGGTCTGAAAAACCTGAAGAATAATGAAATTGGTATGCTAACAGACTGAAACCTAAACGGATAGTTTGAGAACCGCCACATTTCGCGTTTCTTCTTCCAAATGGAGACGTATCAAGAGGCCATGACCGGATAGGACGCCTATCAGAATTAAAGCACTTGCTGATCGCCTTGGTGATTATGGACCTAGACCTGAAGAGCATTTGTCAATTTAGCCAAAACGGCGGATTTCCTGGAAACAAGACTGCTTATGAATAATCGGGTGAACATTCTTAACTTTCTGGTGGCTATCTGGTAAAACTCACATCGTTGATTTCCTCAAGAGATGAATGCATAAACAGTTTCTCAAGTTGAAGATTCATCGAAGTCTTGTATATGTTACAAAATAGAGCAATTTCTCGAACCCATTTTTGGAAAGTAACTGTTGTTAGAATTGATTCTAACGTCCTTTTCTTCCATAGGTTTTTCCTGCGACCGAATGGTGGCAGAACACCGTCTAGTGTCTCACCTTTATCACTGCCCAGTTGATCTTACGCGCATCGAGGGTGAAGCATGTCTTCAGGTGAGTTTCTGTTGTAAAATTCTTCAGGTGAGGAAATTACGGCAAAAATCGAATAGCTTGTGCACTTTGGGTTAAAAGATATGTAGTATGACTACCTCACGGATGATAATAGGTGAAAAATAGGAAGTGCCTAATACAATCCATGATCAAAAATAATCATTCACAACGATTGATCAACTTTTGTAAGATTTGACAGTCTGCCTTACGAGGGTAGAATACTTTGATGTAACTGTTGACTGCGCACAATTCACGCAAGTTCCGTTGCGTCACAAAGATCCGAAGATAGCCTACTCTGAACTACAAACTCAATGGGAGACAAATGATTTTCACAATACTAAGTCATCTTAGTGGATTAGGTGTTTCATGAAAATGATCGGACGTTGCCCGCCGAAAGAGAGATATGCGGTTTTTGGCGGGCAGATAATGGCATTTATCACTTGTACTATACAATTCGAAACAAAGGGTGCCCGTCTGTCTACCATCGGATAATCGTATACTCATACATGTGTGTGAACCAGCAAAACCAGGCTTCAGAAAGTGTCCTTTTTCTTGGCGAACTATACTTATTAGAAAATTGGTTTGGTTTCAACTGGAGACTCATCTGAAGCCCAGCTGAAACTGTTGTTGATAATTTTATTCAACCGAACGTCATGCACTTGGGCCGTCTCATAGTTCAGTTGTTACGATATTCTCAGAGTTTTGAGCCAACTTATGGGCAATGCGTTCTGTCCGTTTTCCTGTTTACGTGGTGGCCTTAGGCTGTATGTTAGTTTCTAGGCTGACGTTGCAGGCAACTGGAGAGTGTACTCACGTGTTACATATCCTTTGTAGAGGGACATCCTCAGCTGCATTTGGAGGGAGGGGTTGAAAACTGATTGAGCTCAATGAGAAAAAAGGACAGAAAACAGTGGGTTTATGCAACTCTGCAAGGAAAACCATGTGTACTTTCAGTTGGTCCTTTCATTGTATACCAAACGAACTGATCCAGTGAAATACAATACCAAACATTTTGCGCCATTTTTATCACTCATGCAGAGGGCTTATGATACCATTATCAACACATATTGCCCAACTGCGTCCGCCCTTTTTTGTAGGCATTGAACGGATTTATTTTCATCATGTCCTGCGATGGAGAAGTGTTCTCCGTGTCGAAAACGGTGGAATATTACCTTGGGTTTCACCAGGTGAGTCATTTTGGCCCATGTTTAAGTAAGATTAAAAACGAAAAGCATCTAAACGACATGCGTCGTAAACCCATTGAATCTGGAGTTAAATTGATACAGATGAGAAAAATAGACCAGTTTGTTCACAATAAGTTCCAGCCAATCACTTTGTGAATGGATCTGATTCGAGTTTGTATGCAGATTTTTGGAGTCGCTGAGTTGTGTAATGCACACATAAAAATGACTGCTCGGGATAAGTAGGTCAAACATAAGGGCAGATTCTAAGGTGGAAATTTTCAACACACGGTACATCTAACGTTTTCAGAACAGACCATAATATTATCAATCTACAAGCCGTGCGGCACACTGGTTCCTCAATGAATGTTAACTAACAGGTTGCGTCAGCCTGTCTAGTGGCTATTAGTACTCAAGGCTAAGACTTGGGGTTTGAGTAGTCGACAGCTACTGGGAATGAATAAAATAAATTTGTGCCCTGGGAACACTAGTTTAAATAAACAAACAAACGAAAGGGTCACCTGTTCTTGAGGGAGTGATTCTGTCAGAAGAAAAAGACATAGCGACGACACATGTTTTGCCTATGTCCTATCAACCAAGATTTTGACTCGTGTTGATCACGAAATAGACGAAATGTCTAGGATGTTGCCTAGCTATCAAAATGTTAGTCCTAATATATGTAGTGACACGGCCTTGCAACGCTACTGACATGATTATCCCATTCCAGAATACTTATCTTTGATTGGCGATGATGTAGGTCCTTCTGACGTAAATTTCGATGCCGGATGGTACCATAGACGGTGCAGACTTTCAGCCGTCCGTAGGCCTCCAGATGAAAAAATATACATAGGAGGGATAAGTTCGTAGATATGCTCCTGTTTTCTTGATGTGAAGCCGAGTATGTTCCATAACCCTGTGGATAAACTGATTAGAAAAAGGCATGCACAGTCATCCGGTGATAGCAAAGTTTTCTTAATAAGAAGGGAGAAAGTTTGCCACAAAGATAGGAAATCGCTGAAATGAAAGTCAGATTTCTCTCTTACCGTAAGAAGGATTTATCCATTCGAAAAATGTGCTCATTTGTATAGCAGTTTGGTTTTCAAGGGAGACTATTTGAATTTATCGTTTGCGATATTTGTATAATTTGGGTTCAAGTAGGTCACAAATTTGACCAAAACTCTGGGACTGCCTCAAGAAGGGCGAAAATGGTCGTGAGCTGTCGAAAAGTTTTCAGCAACCTTGTGAGTAGTTTCTTCTAGGATTGACCTATATTATTTTAGCTTTGAGTGGGGAAAATATATAGTGGTCTTCATCATTTACATTACTCCCGGAGAGAGTTTTATTCTTTTAAGCTTCTCGGGAAACGTGAGGGATTAATGTATTGAAGACATAAAAGTGTAGTCACACATGCTATCGTCTATTCTTTAATATAATTACGGCTTTAGTAAGTATGATCCATCTGGTATAGAACGAGGAAACGGTCAACTCACAAGCTAGGTTTGTGGTAAAACCAATGGTTCACAAGTTGCACTAATCTCAAATTCCCTTCTTCAAACAACCTGGAACATGGGCGATCAATGAAAAACGCTATTGATTCAATCCTTAAGCATTACTCTTCAGCTAAGCATGAGACTTGTCTACCATACAAAGAAGATCAGCTGATTGTTCCCATAACACCTGCAAAGATGTTCTCGCTTTATGGGAAGTGGTGGTCACCGGCACGTGGGGTGGAAACGACAAGAAATGCTCGCTTGTTGGACTGAAGGGTCGAGTAGGCGAAGAAGTACTTCGCAGATGCGTACCGACAAGCAAGCTTACACACATACACAAACAAACAAGCGCGTCTCGTGTAGCTACAACCAGCGACTTACAAACAGCCTTTGGTAGTACAACGCCGCTGGCAGAGCATCGGAGAATATGGACTGGGACGTATTGTCAATTTATACACCAGGCCAGCTGTAAATAAAGCACAAATCATCTCACTGCCACGTTGATGCCTCGATTAGCTTTGTATTATTTTCTACCTGTTTAAGCAGCTGACACAGTCGTTTCCCGTAAAACGGTTTACTGTAACTCGGCAAACATCTTGGATTAATGTGAAGGAATTGTACACAAAACTCTTATATATTGGACAATGATTGAAGTGGATCAATGCACTTGTCATTATCTTCAAGTATAACCATTAAAAACCAAAAAAATAGTCTGAAAAATAGTTTGATACACATCCGCATTTTCGATGAATATCTGGGTGATTTGCGAATGGCGACCAAGTGGATGCCAAATTGTGCAACCGAGAGTGGAAACAAAATGATCTTTACATTTGGCAGGACATAATGAGAGTACGGAAGTTACAATCAGTGTAAAACCAATTCATTCGATGGAATCAGCATATATCGTAAGCATTCACAATGAGTCGGGGAACTAGCATGTCTGATAATGATTAATTTGCACACGGTCAGATGTGCGGCATAACACTGAGTAGGGTTGCGGTGAATTGCTTTTCAATCCTGCAGGATAAAAGATAAGGAGGCGATAATCTTTCACAACTTGGAGTGACAAAATTTCTCAGAGTAAGAGCAAACGGCAGCACAGGTCTTGAAGTTTTTGTGGTAAGTTTTACGCTTACTGAGCAATACCCACATAACTTGCCCTCTGCCATCAAATAAACTTCTCAACTTTGGACTTATATCCCAGTATACAGGCTGGCTTTTCGTCAAAAGGAAGGTAAAAGCTTTGTAATGAACGAGAGTGAACCAATCAGACAAAATGAGTCTACCCAATTACAGCGTACAGTTCTTGTTCAAAAATTTTCGGTCTGCGTGGTGTGGGAAAATTGAGTACAACACGAGGACAGCCCACTATCGGTTCTACTGTTTTTGTGGCTCAGTCAGCAAGCTTAGGTACAGTGATCGAAATCAACCATGTTGCTTACTGACAGGCTCCTGATGGGAAATCCTACTACCTTTTCACTTCGATGTTCGTACGCTTTGATCGTAAAATAAAGCAGTACATTTGAAAATTTTAATAAAATTTTGAAACATTCTGTGGTCTGTACACGGTATTAAGACAACCCAACGAGAGCTAATCACACTACTGTTCAGTCGGTTGTGACCAAACGGCCAAGAGGTCAACCACTAGCCGGAAGATCGCGGTTTTGAAAATCCCAGTGTTTCGTAAGACGCCCACAGTTAGTAACTCCAAGCAAAGTTGAAACAGCTGAAGTGCTTTTCGGCTTTTCATTGTGGATCGATTTCACTGATATGAGGAAATCTAAATTGGAAATTACTGCATGTCCTCACATTACCATCAGTCATTTACAGGTGACTACTTTGGGCCCTAGAAGGTGAGCGTGTGTCACTTGGGACTGTCATCTAACAAGTCGGAAACTCACCGGAATAGTTAAGTCAGAACAGGAGGACGACTGTTCAAATGAGTGTTGTGCCTATGAACAAAATACCCACCCCTCAAAACCCCAAAACTGCAAGACTGAGATAGTTGACATATCTGAACTGTCTACACTCTCAAGCGGGAAGCTGCGGCCGGCCAGATATGGGATCTCACTCTCTAACAAAACATGTGATCTTAAAATTTCTGGGAGAATGAAAAAAATTTCGATGAGGGGTAGCCTGATTCGGATGGCAAAACTATGGTGCACTTTGATGCAGGCTGTAGTCATTCGATTCCGAATTCCTGTCTATTTGTTTAAGTCATCCTTGTGTGGGTGACGAAGTTGTGCACTTCTGCCCTGTCACAAGCTACAGCCACTTTGTTCAAAATCCCCTATTGGGGCACTGCTAGCGGAAGTTCATTTCAACGGTAAACCGTCTGTCTGAGGACTTTCAATCGTCATAAGAACCGATCGGACTGCTCCACTGGAAATGTGTACGAAGATGGGTTAAATAACTGATTTGCATTCGTCAGTATTTTGTGAGTAAATTGAACTAATCACATGCCAACCATTCAGGGGCGGAAAATGTAACAGGCAGAAAGGAAAAATCTGAAACGGAAGCATCGATAAGTATGTGTAACGCTGCCTTACCCCTGGTCCTTCCCGTAAATCATTTGTGAGATATTTGCAAAGGTGCATCATCTTAAGGAATCAGTGAGCTGGTGAATGTGTACCTACATCACTCTCGTGTAACCGAGCCTCCTCTCATTCTAGTGAAATTATTCTGGTTAGTCCGTGCCAAAATGTTAGTGTTGAAATCGTGTAATATACGCAATACAGCTCATATCCGCTATTGTAACAGAATTTCCACTCGAGACATGACGTACAATGTGACCGCAACTCCATCAGCCAACGCAAAGCGAAAGTGTTCGCGGTCGAGTGATGTAGTTGGTTTGTTCTGCTGGTTTTGCCGGTCGATTGAACTACCTGTCATGATTACTCAGTGAGTTTTCCCTACGGTCTAGAATCGAAATTTGACGCAAGTCATGAGTGAATACACCTGAAAGGACAATGTGTGATTTTGAATGGAGTACTTCATGCAACTTGCACTTTCACTTAGCTTTCACTTTTACTTAACTAAGGTCCTTGAGAATGAACAAGGTGTCTGTTCGGTAGCAGGACATAGTGGTCGCTGTTGAGGGGCCTAGTGTGCAAGAATTTGTCCATCCTCAGTGGCGTCAGAAGGACAGAAAATATATTCGGAATAACACTAGTAGGTCCTTTTATATGATGCCTTAAAATTTAGTGATGCGGAGAATGTACTGCGAGTCCCTCGGACCTTAGTTAATGTACTCGTTTGGCTCTCCACCAATAGATTTTTTTTGTTTTGCTACTTCAATTTATATTCGAAATCCAGTTGCCAAGAACACACACTAGGGCTGAGGGTACAATCAGAAGTTGGAATCTTTTTGAATGTTCCAAAATAATCCCATGTGAGTCCAGATCCTCTGCAAACTAGTGGTAAGTTAACTTGCCGAGAATTAATGCGCCACTTCTGCCCTTTAGTCGTTTACCAGGTTATTCAAATAGAATCAGTACAAGCTCCAAAATTAATATAGACTGAGCAGAGAACTATCGGCCGTCAACTGATCACTAGGAATCAAATATATGCTTGCCAATATGCGCATTGCCAAAGTATGAATGAAAGAAGCTTCATCTATTTGCCTCCAAAAGTCTGACGGCGTAGGATGGTTCTTCAACGTAGCAAGTGCCTTTAAGGCCGTTTTGGAACGGACATTTCAGTTCATTTCAGTTCCCAATGCTACCACGTATACTTTTAGGATTCAAGCGGAGGAATTTTCTTTCCAGAAGGTTGACAAACTCACAGTGGATGGTTAACTACTTCCGCATTCTTCACTCTGCTTCAATTACTCCTTTTTCCTTCTCATTCGAACGAACCGTAATTTCACAATCTACAATCAAAATTTCAGGCTGACATATTGCACCAAAGCGTGTTGGAACTGATTCACTCGGAAGATCGTGAAGAATTCAGGAGACAGCTATCATGGAGAGCCAACCTTCCACCAGAATTGCAGTCGTGCACCTTGAATGAAATCATTTCACGAGGTAGTTTGCTAGACTGTTCATTTTACTCAGTTTTGCTGGTGTTTTAGCCAAACAACTGTTGTGGCGATGTTACCGAGCCCTTGAAAACCACATGTAAAGATATACACATTCACATTGAGATGTTTTTACAAACTTCTTATGACACAGCAGTATTTGCATTAATTCTAGACCAAACCTGTTTTCATCATCACTGATGAGTAGTAGTGATGACCTCACTGCTTATTTGGGTAAGCAGCTTGGTTGCACAAACAGTAAAAAATATCCTTTCCTCTGTAAAACCCGCTATGGTGGCATCTGCTGGCACGAGAAACAGGCAACATAGCTGATGAATGACTGACATCCCAGTAGGAATCACAGGTTGTATTTGGTCAAACCACCGGCTTCCTGTGCGTGGTCCGAGATCCACAGACAGTGTCTGCTGGAAGAAATGGGGTGCATTATACAAATTGTTGGGGCCGGTGTACATCCAAAAACATAAAATATGCCGGAAAATATAGACCAGTAACTATTCTGGACCAGGACAGAAAGAGGGTTATTCAACTGAAATTGACATGAATGTTAATTCTGTGTACCACTTACAACTAATGAAAACTAGTTCAAGAAGTTTCAAGCATCCGTGGCGTTACCTGACTGGGAAGTCCTCAGTTTGGCTGGCCGCAAAAAAGTTGTGCTGAAGTGAAAGTTTCTGCCATTCGTTCGAAATGGACCTACCAGCTGAGTTGGTTTCATATTAGTCTGTATTCGATTCCGACCGTTCGTTTTGTTCAAAGGAATTCGGTGTTCGAGATTCGACCTGTCCGTTTGAGTCGAGGGAGTATCAAGACACTACAAGGAATGTCAGTCAAATAATGTTCAGATTTTTTTTAATCCAGGGACGAATAAAAAACTGCTGTCTTTGTATACTCATGTGCAAGTAATGGACACTGACGGGGCAATTTCAATCCTCGAGGCGACCACACACCACGCTGGTGTTTGTAACTGTCCCATTCCTTTCACTACTTAGGGTCTTGGCCGTAGACAGTGCAATGCCAGGATGGCAGAAACCCGTAAAGCACACTATTTGGTGCCTTACATTGAATCCTCCAGTGAAAACCGACAAAAGTGTTTAGAAATAACGATGCTTAACCCATGTCTCCGATGACCGCAACCAGCAACTGTTGTACCTGTCCAGAATGTGAAAAAATCTCATTCGTCCGCGCATAACAACATACCTACATTGAGCTTACGCAGCAGTGTTTTAGCCAGAAAACTGCAAATGAGTAGATAACTATTCAAGTGATATTAAATTGCAACAATCCCTTGGCATTGGTGGAATACTGGCTTGCAGATGGTTGCAAATGGAGGCTGAACTTTGCTGAGACTAAAAGGCAACTCAGATTTACTCATGTTTATATGTCGAACTCAGTCAAGTTAGTTGCCCAGGATAGGAATCGGACTTTCGTCCAAGCCTGAATTGCTTTGTTAAGATCGGAGTGTTTTCCAACTGCGCTTCTAGGGGAAATCGCACAGCGATTCTCTGTCAGTCTAGTAGAAGCCATTGGCGACATTCACAGTCATTTTACAGGTCGGCTCGTTCCGGCTCGCTTCGAAATCTTCGGGCCGCAGCGAATCTGATACAACTTCCTCGGATTCGGCAGCTTTTTTCGCGAGGGGTTTACACTGATGTACAGACATTAGACTTGCATGAGGTTTTTGGCGACTCGATATAACTTCACACCAGGGATACTAGTGTTTTGCTCTGTTGTGCCCATAGAAGAAAAACCCATTTAATTAGTTGGTTTACTCCCTGACGTATTTGACGGGTTGGCGGAAACCTTTCCCTTCGGCCTGTGGGAGTTGTCAGTATGATAAGATTCTCAGTTTGTACGCCATTAAGTGTCGCAGATTTAGAAATGTGTGGGAAAGCCATCAATTCAGGGTCTGGACAACTCGTGATGTTTATAGCTGACCGGAAAACGAACTTGTCCACTGGACTGTTTCTGACTGTTCACGGGTAAGTTACTTGGAACTTATGGTTATAATACCAGCTGAAAGCTTAGCCTGGATAAGATAGTTTTTACGTTTTATTGACCTGATTCTTCATATTTTGGGGTTTGTTATTTAGGTGCGACTTGAACAGACATGGAATGGGCTGCGTAAAATACACAATGTGGCTGCGAAGTTAAACGCTCATTCCCAGACTAAGTTACACTACATGGAGAATCAACAGAATATCTCGTTTACGGAAATCTCCATCCTAATGTGCTACATAAACACCATTTTTATTTTAGTTGATGAGATATTTTATGGTACAATTATTTTTCTTTATATGCTCTACAGGAGTGATTCCGGTTGTGAGCTGTCAAAGCGTTTTCATCAACCTTAGTGAGTAGTGTCGCACCGGTTGAATGTAGTTGTTTACTCTGAATGTCTAAAATATTCACATCAATTTAGGTAAATAATTAAGTCTGATTAGCGATGGAAAAGTAGGCAGCTTTGGGCATGCGGCCTGTGAGAGGGAAGACCTGTCATCCAGCCGATTGGAAATACTTGGATCGGACTATTTAACCGCTCATCCGTTGCTTCGTAAGCTGGAGTCTGTCACCAATCGTCAATCATTTATGCCAGAGGCCGAGTGGCTTGCGACGTTTAGTGAGAAGTCTGCTTGCACAGCCTTGTTCGCTGGTACCGCGCTTGCCTGAGGAACCGAATATAAGGAGAGCTTTTCATTCTATGACTTTGAAGTAAACTTGGTCCAGGATTTGTTTGAGAAGAAAGCACTATTTTAGTAAGCACTGTGACAGTAAAACTCTGATCATAGCACCACTTTGGTCTCCAGATATCAGGTCTAGTGTTTCAGGCAAGCAATATACCAGAACTAGAGTTGCTGAGAATAGACTTTTGTCCTCCGTATATAAATCGTGTATATATATGTAGCTTCTGTAGACGCCAAAGTAACTAGTTTATTCGAGAAGTCCAGTTTGATTTCTGTTTTAACGCTTGTCATACGTCTTCCACGTTATCTTGATTTCTATACGGAAAACTATAGTACAGGCACCGTCAACAAGCTATTTATATTCACTTTACCGTGGAGCCACGTTTTTTATTTTTCATATAAGATTTGGTACACCATCTTCAACGGCGATTTACGGTGCGATTCCGATGTCTACTGGACAACACATCAGGCTTCATCGTAAGTTTAACGCATATAGTGAAGACGTTTTCCACTTAAGAACTCCCGTAGCGAATTCCAGGTTTCTTGGCAGTTAAAACGTATCATTGTCTGACGGAAGGCGATATCTAGGTTGCATAGACTACTGCAAGATTCCAGAACAAAATTGGGCTAAAGCTCTTTTGTTTTGTTTTGACATTTATATTCAGCCGATCCAGGTATTCAGCCCATGAGATCATCAAATAAAGAAAATATGTGAATAAAAAAGCTCTAAGGACTACTCTTATATTTCAGTAGAACCGAGGCTTGACTGACTCAAAGTGGAGATTTCTGAGTGTATTTTCCTTAATCTATCCCAGATAAGAAACTAGGCCTCCCGAGGCAGTTTCACATATTCGACAAGGTTAAAATTAGGCCTGATGATCTCAAAGTTTTGGTTTATCAATAGAAAATGTGTCAAGGCGGTCATGAATGGCGTATAAATCACGAAACTCTGATCTGGATTAGGATCATGTAAAAATGCTGTAACGAGCTAAACATTTAGTTTCTTTAGTTAAGTTTGCGCTCTCAAAGTAGGCTATTCAATTTCTTTTTCTTGACTTATTTTATTTTATTAATTTTTCAACTTATTCTAGACCCTGGAGCTCAGCGGACGTCTCCAGTTTTTACACGGGCAATCTCGTGGTAAACAGTCCGGAAGTTCTCTCTCAGGTACCCATATGATTCACACCGCAGCGGGGGTCCGAGGCATCAGTAAGCCTTCATCTTCTGCATTGGCAGCTGCAGCTTGTCAGTATAGTCTCCCGCCGCTTGGGCTATTTGTGGTCTGTAGCCCACTTGGTCCGCTCCCAAGTCTGAACGGATCTCAAAGGGACATGACCTTCAAAACAAAACATCAGCTGGACTTTACTGTAACAACTATTGATTCAAGGTTAGAACTAAGTGTCTGATTTGGAAGATTGATAAATTTATCACACTGTAAACTGCTGGAACTTCCCTCTATATTGTCCGCAATGTTGTCTCACCTTTCTTCTACATTGTCAAATCGTAGCCTTATCATTTCCTGTATATAAAAATGAAACCATTCTTGATGGCAAAGGAACACTGATGCATGTTTGCCAACAAGTTTCTTTGAGAACAATGTTATGTTGAGGCTTGGGAGAATACCTCGTGTTTTTCGGAGTTGATGTCAAACAAACAACTTCTGCATGCACAGGAGCAATTGTGACCCTTTCAGCAAGCGTGTAGTAAGTGAATAATCAGAAGGTCAGTTCAGTGTAAAATGAGATCCCCTCAAGCAAGGAAGAGTTTTCGGGTATGGATTGGGCTGCCCAAGGGAGTCAGTTTGCTGGATCACCTAACACAATTTCTTTGTCCAGCATAAACCTTTTGAGCGAGTAGTTGTGTTTGCTATGACATTCACCTGTGTGTGGTTGTGTGGAAATTGACAATTTAGGCTAGATTCGCAAAAATCGTCCGGCCATAACCAGGATTTGGTGGTCTTTTCTATTGCATTTCAGAACAAGAATGCTCTTCAGTTACACAGACGCCGATCTGCAACGGTTCAAAGTTTATGACTTGGTTCATCCGGAGGACCTGCGGTATGTGGCTCAAGGGCACAGAGAAGGTGAGGAAGCGTTTGACCTACCCGTGTGAATACAGATGCATGTATAAAAACAGAACGAAAATCTTTGGAACTACTTGACTGATTGGGAAAATAACTATTGGTGTTAGAATGGGAATACAAAAACCAATACGACTTTAAAGCCATTGAGTGGTGCATGTGATAGATATATAATTCATTCAAAAACAAAACATTTGGATGAGGAAGGTGTTGGGTCCTCTTTATTAGTAACCAATCTGCAAAACGTATGTTGTCAACTGAAATTCTATAACGACCAAAGTGGGGTTTTGGTCGAAAGGCCAGTCTTTTCAGTGAAACAACCCAAAAATAGCTTATTTGTTGGGGAATATCAGGTGAAATGAAGGTCGTTTTAGAATCATCCAAGGGCCATTTTCGTTGGAAAAAAGTGTCAATAACCTTATTTGCACTATCCATATTAGTTTTTTCCTTACTTTCTGTGGCTCATGTGTGTCACCTAGTTTGAAAACAGATTCTGTTGAACGGTGTCGGCAGAAAGTTAAGAAACTGAGCACCGGGCAGTCATCAGTAGCCGTCTTGGATAGAAAAATCTTGTTCGTGCCATGAAAGCTAAGCAGCAGTTTATCCCATCGGTTGATGTGATGTTGCTTTCTCCGTCATGTTTCAGTATTTAGAACTGGATCCGTTGGACTGCTTGTTCATCGGTGGATCAGTAAGTCATGCGAATGGATCTGGTTACAATCGCGCGTCAAGCTGATGATGAAGAACGGCAAACAGGACCACATTATTGTGATACACAGACAACTCTCGTGAGTTTCGAATGACTTCGTGTTGTTTGTTCGCTTCCAAAATATTTGCAGCAGTATGCGATAAAACTCTTGCGAGGTAGAACTTGTATTTGGAAATCTTCTGGAATCCGGCTCCAATCTGGCAGTCAGAGTATGAAGACATGGCCGACCGAGAAGGCTGTTGAAGCTCTTTCATGGGAACGGTCTCCTCCTAGGGTTTGCTGCAGTCTATGATCTATTTTGGCTTACAAACGCATGCAGCAAAATACTGCCTAGACGAGTGTATACGTGGGGATAGTTTAGATTCTTAGGTTAGTTAAAAAGCCTAAATAGTAAAAATAGATGTTCAGCCCTATATAAGTGTAGCGCAGAAGATCGTTAAGTAGGTAGGGAATCAGCGAGTGCACGTGGGCATATTATTTCCACCTTAAACCCCGTCATTGTCGCCCAGGGATAATACTGATGACTGACACATAATGAGAGAAAGGAAGCAGGTGAAACAGCCAGCTGGCTCGTATCTTTTGATTTGTGGCTGGGCGATGAGGCTTAAACTGCTATATCAAGGCGGAAACCGAGGTGTAATTAATACAGTCAACCAGCAAGCAACTAGCAATCGTGAAATGCGAGAAAGAACACAGCCTTATTGGATCAAACCTCCTTTGTAGTGATATGAATCAATTTAAACTGGGTTTCATGGAACCAGTTCTTCATAGTGACTAACGTCACTTGTGGTCAATCCACAGAGGTCAGCGACACAACTGGTTCCAGTTGTACAGGGATTTAGGAAGAAGTATTCAATCGTAAACCAAAAAGCGATGAGTCAACAATCACTTCAGGTTGAAAAAGGAAAGATTAGAAAATGGTGTTGTAGTGCTATTGCTGCAAGGAAATACTTCTCGTGAGTCAAGAGAAGTTGGAGGCGGTCAATCAAAAGCAACTTCTGTCCTGCACGGTCGCCGCCAGGATTTAAAGGTTTCGCATAACTTTCAACTGTAATCTACGAACACTTTGCGTGGTACAAGCTGAAATTTTCTTAAACCACAACATTAGCAAGAAATTTAATTTTTAAGTCCTTCTACGGTTATCAGCGAAGCAGCCTCAATCTATTCCTCGTACTGTGACACTGTCCAACGGATTTTTAGTTGTATAAGGAAACAAGCAATGTTGGTTACTCGGCTATTCTGGGACCTGCGCTACCACTGTTTTTAAGGCAGTTTATAAGTGATCCTTCAAAGCCATCAATCAAACCTTTGAATGGCAGGAAAGTGGTATGATTTCGTTTCCCTGTTAACACTATTATCCCAGTAAAAGTTGGTCTGTGATATGAAGATGATGTGTTAACCTCTGATGTTGGTGAGATTTTTCCGCCGGCTCATTTTTCATGGCCTTCCGACCGCCTTGGTAGATTTTGATACGTTCTCTTTGTCTATTCTAAGCCTGTCCAGAATTTACGAGGTGCTTTGTTTGACAACATTCCACAGCGTACCAACAAGCAAAGCGTATTGTTTGAATTGCAGCGGTTGAATCACTAGTCAGTTATCCAGTGGGTTTGTCAACAGCAACCAAGGGCTTTCATCAAATGCAGTGATTTCACCACAAACGGATTGTTACTTGCCGCACAGTAAGTAGAACACTGTTTTAGGCATGCTGAAACGCATACCGCGGTTGGACAAAAAGCGACTTAGTAGCTTATCAGAACAAAACTGGATCCCTCTGTTCTGCTTTTTGGAAGATGTGCCACCGAACAGCAAGAAGATTGCCACGGAATGACATTATGGTAAGATGCACAATATCTTCCCCAAAGTACGGTCGTTCTCCAAAAGGTGTGTCTAGGGATCAGATAAATCAGCTCTAGAAGTAGGAAGAGACAGTAAACCTATTTTCAAGAATCTGAGTGCAGTATTTTAGAATGTTTGATAGAATATCATCACAATTGAACTCTTAGGATGACTCCATACTAAGTGAGCCTCGAATGCAGTGAAACGGGCAGCCGGCCGTCGACGAGTTTCTATTAGGTTCACATCAGGATAGATGGTGTCTTCAGCTACTTGACACGACATGTCATTGCCACTAGTACAGCTACCACTGCGTACTGCACATGGACTTAACTTTCCTAGCATATTTTGAGTATTTAAGTCAGCCTTTATTCTCAGAATTGGCTAACCAACTGTATATCTGTTGCTATTTGTCATCCCTTTTAGGCAACAAGAGGGCATGGAGCTCCTGATACGCCGTAGTGATGAATACAAACTTCCATTTCCACTGCTGGAGCCAGAAACATTATTGAGTGAAGAAAACCTATCATCCGTTGGCACAGGCATCACTGACTATAATGGGCCGTTTGCTGTCTCGCATTTAAAGGATTTTGACACTGGTTTCCTTGGAAGTATAATCAACGGTGGTGAGAGAGCTGGTGGATGTATGCATTCGTTACAAAAGACAAACATAGCTTCTTTGTCGGACAATGAGGTATCTCACGGGGCAGGCCCAAAGCGCGCTTTCCAACAGAGTTCATCGTTTAGTCGTTTTACTGAACTTTTGGCGATCACTAAAGATTATCCCACATCCTCCCGACCATCAATACGCAGTCCGCTTCCCTTTAGCTCTCAGGTAACTAGGCATTCCGCTCACACATCCAAACAAACAAGACAGCAGATGAAAGACGGGAGTCACAATGGTAGACGAAAAAAGAATTTAGCAAAAGAAGTGGCGGTTCCAGAAGCCATTCACCACCCCTATGGATATTCGGGTATCCCAGGTTCATTGGCACTATCACCTGCTCTTCGCCTACCCACAGATGAATACTCTGGAAATTTATACAAAGAAGCCTACTTGAAACCAGATGCCTGTCCATTGGACTCACCTCTAAGGAATTCAGGTGTTATGGGTCAGTTTTCCATACCAAACCATGGAATGTCCGCAACACTTTCTGATTTTAATTATTCTGGATACCAACTGGGTCTAAGAACATCTGGACAGTATTCTACATCACCCTCCAACTCCCTCACACAATATGCACACCATCAACAGTCCTTCGGCCTTCCAGAAACATTCACTCGATCAGTACCCCTTGCCAGTCCGTTGGGCCAGGAGCTACGTCGCGATTTCGGGGTCCAGAATTTTGCTGACAGCTACACGCACTACTCTGGTTCCTATGAGGCCTACTCAGCTGCAATGGCTGCTGCAGCTATGGTAGCTGCAGCCAGCAGCTATCACCCACAACACCAAAACCCAAATATGCACTTTTCGCAGTTGCCAAGTCAGTTATCGATCCAGCCTGAGCCATCGTTCTATGCTGACTACATAGTTCCACGGTTGTACCAAGGATCCTCGCAGGAAGTTTCCTGCCCAGAATTACTTGACACACAAGAAGAGATAGGTTTACAGAGGCACCCGAACAGGGAGCGTTGTTCTCCTACACTCCTCATGATGAACCTTCGCAATGCCAACAACGTTTCAGAAGGAGAAACGCTCATTGACAGTTACCAAGATATCGAACAGAATGTTGATAGTTTGAAACAGTTCAGCACTGTTGACCCAACTGGGGTGTTTCAACGACATGGCGTAATAGATGGCGTCCATAAAGTTGGATACAGCGGAAAAGTAGGGGAAGTTTGCAGAGAATATGGAACAAGTCTTTTAGAGAGTGACAGGCTTTCAAGAACCGAACCGTCTGAGCTAGATTTAAGAACATCTAAAGGTCAGTTGGAGGCAGGATCAGTATTCCACTTTTCGAAGCAACCGACAGAAATATACGCCGCCAGTACGGACTTTCGAAGGGATACTTCATTGGCTGCTCCAGATGCATACAAATCCTTCCAGGCACAAAATACAACATCTGGTGAATCACGCACTCAAAAAGAACAAAGAGTGGAACGGTCAGATAAATTTGCGCGAAAACTAGAAGAGTATCAGACAGGAACGTGGAGACAGCAGCCCCAAGTGTCAACAACGGTTGGTTCTTTGGAAGTTGACGATCCAGGCATCTCAGTGGGTGATTTCGAGGAGCAGTCAAGTCTTAAAGAAGGCTTCCAGACTGGGGATAATAAATCCACTTCGTCCTTATGCTCTTCATCATCCAGTCAGTTGCACTCACCTGTCAATCAGTCACAAGTTGATGCAACGCAATCCAAGACGCAAGGCACAATGATACACACATTAAGTGCTATCACGGCCCAGTCCCCACGGGACAACCACTTTTGGCAATGCAAGAAACAACAGTCAAAAAGTTGCATCCGAGATCAACTGACATTCAATGGCACCCAGTTCTTACCGCAATCTGGGACGCAACATTTTTCTGAAGCAGATGCGTTGGCAACCCGCCAACAATACTCTGCTGGGAATGAGTTCCGGTAAGTGTCGCGCATCTTCGTGTGAAGCGTCGCAGTATCAGTCCAGGTCATTAGAACTTTTACTCCATATTTTACGTTCTGAGCAATTTGGCATGAATTTTGGTGAATAGTATGAAGATAACTGTTAAAAATCTAGGAATATTAGCTATAATATTGTTTTCTCCACTGTGGTACATTTTATGGCTACCGAGAAAGATTCCCCTGGTCATTGCGTGCCTTTCAGGCATCCACGCTTTGAAGCAAGTTGAGTACATTATAAGAACACTGTGTCAGTCCAAGGTTAAAACTTAATAGGCGCCCAATCAAAAGGAGTTTATTGGGATCCTGAACAGTCCATTTAGAAGTGGACGAATAGGTCATGTGACATCTGGTCAAACATGTTCGGGGACCACGCACCAGCCAAACAGACATTCATAGTTGGTGAAGTTGATCAATGAATTTTTACTTACTCTCAACATCTGTAGGCCAATTTAGATATCTGGATAGGTATGGATCTTGAAATTTCGTGTATAGAAATGTATAATGTCAGGGTAAAGACGCCGGAGAGTAGGTTTGAATCACTGCTCGTCGGCTAAATGCCTAACTGACTCAGCTACCGAGAATGTTACTGTTCGTTGAGTCAGAAAAAACTGGTTTCCGTTTACCATTCCAACATGAGCAGTTATGTATTATATATACAGCTTTTTCCTAGCAATTTTGTGGAATGTAGGTAGCTCAGGTGCGCTGCTTGGTTGTTGGTCTGTTCACCGAGCCTGGCAGTTGGATTGCAGACGTTTCATTACCAATCGGGGTGGCATCGTCGGTGCAGGGTTGAGTGGGTTGACCAAAACAGCTTATTCCTGTCCACGTTTGTTAACTGACGAATTCCTGTCATCTGTTTGCCAGGCAACCTCCATACTTTGTTCTTTTCAGCTGATCAGAGGAGCAATTCCAAAAGCATTTAGATGGAGTGAATATACTTGTTCGTCTGACCAAGCTTATCCTGCCTTACAGTGACTTGGAGAGCCTTGATTTGTCAGATTAGAAGAAGATGCAGTGTGGATAATTCGAGGATCCAAAACATTCTGTCCAGTGTCACATGTAAAAAATAATACCTAAAGGAACGAAAAATTGATGTATATTACACCTTAGCTTAGGTACAATGTGCAAATGTACTCCAAGTCACGGCTTACTTCATGTAATATGCGGTCGGGTGCAGAGTTGATATCCCGTGCCCTTCACTGACTTTAGGACGGATGTCTACGGAGATATCGGTATAAATCAACTATTCGGCAGCAGATTAAGTTGGGTTTAACCAAAACGTTAGTTTAGCGAGGTCAGAATTTTTTGGCACGATTGAAGCATATTCGAGTCCCTGACATAATGCACGGCTTGTAAGGTTTCTGACAACTCTTCGACTGCCCACTACCGCTTTCATCTTTACAAAGCCTTATCAGGCAATAGTCCCGAGTTTTAACCGAATGTGTCCTAACTGAACACCAAACTGCAAGCAAGTGATCAAATTTTAAGAATGCTTTGGCGCAAACGGTAGACTTAAACGGGTCGCAGCTGAAATCCTCATTCTTGACATTCTTCAAGTGAATGTACTGCACACAGGACGTTTCATGTTTCAGTTGACAAAATATTCGAGATAAAACAATATATTTACTTGAAGCGAGCCACTGGTTATAAAAAAATTCATCACTTGTGTAAAAGCTGGTGTTCAGGTGTAACATTAAGTTGATAAAAACTCGGGTACTTTTTCTATCTGATGAGCCAGAAGCTACGTGAAACCGATAATGGGCTGTCGAGGACAGCCTTTGTGCAGTCAGCTGAAGAACATTGCAAGTAAGGGGACCAGTGCTGTCTCGTTTACACCTGTGTAATCTACAAATGAATATGCGTGAATCCTTTACATCGTAGGTTGTGTACATACTGACTGGCTGGCTGCGAAATGTTTATTCATTGTTTTCTTCAATTTATTGGCTTTTAAAAGCAGATTTCGAAGCGTTATAAACGTGGAGAGGAACTTTCTGTCCAATGATGTTTAAACCGCAGTAAACCCTGCCAGCCTTACGTTCTTCAGATGCTGATCACACATTTCTGGCAGATCCAAACACCGATTGTACATTTCGGCATGTGCTTCCTAATTTTATTCTTGAGTTTCGGAAAAAGTTACAGCATACCAGAAGTCGCCAGTTCACCCAATATTTCGACTAGGCGGATGATCATTTGCCTAATTTCTTTTGTCTAGAACTGAAGCAGAACAATTCCAGTCACGACCTATTACTGAAGAACCTCCGAGAAATTCTTCTCCGGTAAGTTTTTTCGAGGAGGATATGCACCAAAATCTTTGCGTTTTTTTGTAAAATGGAATCCAAAATTTTCCACGCTCAATTTCGGCCTGTAATGAGTTGATTGTGAATTTCAGCTTGTTGTAGCTACGCACATCCCACCAAACTTCGTACCGGTCAACACTAGAAGCTAGTTTCGTGATCTGTCAGTCAAATGCTTCCGCTCTCATGTCTGGTGCATCCCTAGAAAGTGCTTTTTTGTGTTTCACACATACACCGACAGCATGCGGTTCGGACACCGTTTGATGCGGAGGGTGGTGGTGAGTGGCTATCATGCCACAATGCTAGTTATATAGTCCTTTGGAAAAGTAATCTGATTGACTGTCTGTGCCTACCAGCTGTGCATGTTTGCCACTGGCACAGTCAGGAGCGAAACTCCAGCAAAGACGAGTCGGGATAGAGTAGCGTCACCAAAATAAGAAACAATAGCAATTTGCTATGTGCTTTCAATCTGACTTTGGTGAATTAAGAGTGACGTTCCAATAGGTTTTGATGAAATTGTAGAACGAATTCGTTAAATTCGTTTGAAAGGACGGACAAATAACTGATTCTTGATCGTAGTTAATCAATAGTGATCAAAACATTGGAGCAAAATTGAATGTCATAAATTTGGTGACTCTTTAGCTACGATACCACTGCAATGGTCGACGAAGAGTAATAGACCAAAGTCAATCTTTCCATAGGAATTCGGTTTGACCTGTTCACATCTTTTAGTGGAATCCCAGCATATTTCTGATAGGAATGAACAACAGTTACCTTGGCGGTGGTAGGAAACCTCTTAAACAGTTTGACGTTTCATTATGGTCGAATCGTTATAAAATAAAAAACTGCAACTAGCGCTAGTTATTTAGAGGGAAAAGCAAGCAAGCGTTTATAAAAAAAGCTTTTCAAACTAACTTTGTATTTAGGGAAGGTGCACAGCACTGGTCGTTTTGTGCAAAATGGTCCCTAACAAATGGAAAAGACTAGTTTTAATTCATCGCACATCCGTGCATTTGCCATAAAAAGCAGAAGACTATCATTACTACTGGTGCGTTTCTAGGTTGAATGTTAAACGTGTTTATATGGTATACATGTACCTGTTAATTTAGAACTGTAGGAACCAGACTACCCAGTTATTCACTAGGTCTCTATTTATGGAAAACCCACAAGTGTCGGAACTCACAAGCAACGAAAATGAGGCCGACTAAAGTCATCTGTCCTGATTTCTGGTCTCTCCGAAAAGTTGGACAAATGTATACCATGCAATCAAATTGCCCAGCTCAGCGAACAAACCAACGACTAATGTGTACCATTCCTATTGGAACCTCAGTAGCTATAGCTTTTGCGCAGCAATGGCTTAGTTATTTGCTAAGTAATTTTGAGAAGGATATCACTCACATAAGAGCTACCAACTGCTCCCGACTTCCGGCTGCTTAACTGAGTTTAGACCATGCGAAACAAGATAATGAATGCTACCATCATTAGCTACCTTGCAAAGGTCAACAAACTCATATGATGGAAGCCGCAATTTCAAGACCACGATAGTGATTATGAATTCTGTTTTGACCAATTTGTGGACATCATGGTTTGCGTTACTTCTATATTAACAAATCGGGTTCAAGTCCCCTCGTTGATGCTTCCATTCCGGCTGCGGGCCCCGTCTCAACGGTAATTACACATCGAACCTCATAAAGAACGCAAAAGGACACTTCTGAATCTTATATTACATGAACGAGTTGGAATGATCAATAAAACTAAATAGAGTAGTCGAGTTTTTAATATATTAAGTAAAATGGTATGCACTGGCGCGCGTCCTGCTGACCGTTGGCCCGGGGATTTTGTCCATAAGCTTGAAACTTTAATTAGTCTCGGAAACCCGATCGTATAACTAAGTTTTTTATACCTTCCAGCTTGTCATGGCGATGTGATGAGTCTAGCAGCTTTTGACTGTGACAGGCAGAGAGGCTCTTGTGAACCATCTAATACATCACAGGATCTCCCCTCCTGGAAGCAAAACTAAACAAAGGACCTTGATTAGTTCTCGAAATTTCGTGCACCCAGAGTAAAGCCTTCGTAAACAAAACGGCTTGATATAAGTGAGGTGAAATAACGTACACCGTGTAAAAAATTTCCTTGGGAGCGACATGTGCACAAAATGACATCTGTATGATTATTTGTACATTTTTCTTGGCATAAACCTTCAAGTACGCGTCCCTTGCTTTTCCGCTCCAAGTCGGACGATTCTTTTGCTCCGCTATTAGCGTTTGGCGTGCAAGGTTGGCAGATGACACATCTGGAAATTCCACTTGTGGCCCCAAGTAGTGATTCCACTTGATCTTGACAAGCCCACTGAATGATGCTATGTACTGCAGGGATAAGAGCTGGCCCCATTATGGTTAGATACTCGCACCTAGAGATGGGAGTTTCTAATCTGGGACTAGTGTTGCTAGCCATCTGCGGGTTGATAGGACATCAGTGTGATATGTCAACCTACGTTTTGGGTCGCTTGTCAGATCCGTCACATGGAAATGACACATTCTTGAGAGGTCTACTTGGGGTCTCCTGGGGAATTTTTGAAACTACTTCATCCACACATCTCATAGGCGTAACATGATTTGAGCAAACTGAAACTAAAAACCCGGTGGTTGTATTTGCTGTAATAGCTCACACTGAATGAAACTTGTACTGACACCTGGTTTTGGTATGTTGAACTCAAATCGCCTCCACTATCACACCGGGTTCTAGTAAACAAAAGCTTGTGCCTTTCTAATAATCCATTGGGTTTTTGAAAAATTTAGGAGATGCCATTCGACGAAGTACTCGCACGAAATGCTTCGAACAACCACCTGATCGTTCTGAAAACCACCAGTTACAAAAAACATACCGCACCAAACAAAGCCCCACCGAAAAGACCACTTTTATATGTACTTCAGTGTCGTACCTTTAACTGGAAACATTTGGTTTCATCTGCCTAACAGTAATTAAACTCACATTAAGCTGTCGGCTCAGAGTTTCACTACCTAGGATCACTAAACTAATAGACAATACGCAACCAGTGCATTGAACTTTCTAAGTTGCATGCCCTACCACAATGACAAAAATCAATGGAAAGAAAAGTGCTCATGTTGTCTTTATGTATCGTATTTTTATAGTTAATTTGCGTTGATAATAACCTACAAACAGACTAAATGTACTCAAGTCAAAGTTGACTGCCACATTTGATACACAATTAAACGCATACGTACTTTCTGAAATTCTAGCTACTCTTGAACCGTCCTACATCGAACGTTGGATATTACAGAGAAAGTCTACTGGGTTCGATCTGATACAACCACAGCACGGCATCCATGTTGTGTTTCCAACAGTATTTCATTGAAACATTTCTTTTTCTTCCATCAATCAGACATTATTTGTGATTCTGTCTTTCTCCCAATCCAGCCAGTTGTAGACTTCCAAATTGTACATATCTGGTCATTGGTACCGATATCATCGGACTTCTTTTTCGTTGTCAGACAGAATGAATATATAAAAGATTCTCATGCTAAACGTTCCTTGTTCATTAGTTAGTAATGTCCACATGGGGTGTGAGTCATTGACTTCTGAAAGAATAGGCACTTTTCCTGACAAATGAGCTACATGAGTTCAAATTCACGGATACTTATATGTAGCACAAGTTCCAATTGTTATTGCTAATTGAGACAAAGCTGTGACGAAAAGCAGAGAAGCATTGTAAAGTCGTTTAATTTTTGTTACAAAACAGTGAAGAGGTTCGAAGCCGCGAACTACCGATTGGTAGTTGAATAGTATACCACTCAGTTGCAGTCGACTGATCAGCGCGGTTAACTTTCACCTAGACAGGACACAGGCTTACCATTCTTCAGTCACTCAGTTCAAGTATCGTGGTTCACGGATGACTGGTTCCACAGATCACAATTTATTGAATGTGAGGAGCAACATTTGACCAGCTTGTATTCTCACTGTTTCAATGGGTGAAATCTCCAGAGGATTTATACTAGCACACTTCTAGTTGTAACATCTAACAGACTGCTGGCGATCGTACGAAAATGACATCTGTGAGATGGGCCGCCTTATCTTTAGGGTACTCGATCAGCTGTAGGCCTCATATGACGTAGTTAGACCAAACAGTATATATGATTCCTAAACACTGGCAAAACTAATTTAGATGCACACTGCTGACGATTACCAATAAGGATGAAAGAGCCCTACAGTGTATTGGTTGTTGATCAGGTGGCTGTTGATCTGTTCGCCGAGCTTGGCAATGGGCTCGCAAACGTTGAGTGGGTAGCAATGGGCTTGCAAACGTTGGGTGGATACTTATTCCTTGCTATAAGCATACGCAGGCAAGGAAGAAGTACCCAAATGCGCACTGATGATGTTTCCTCGTATGGTGACGAAACGTTTGCAAGCCAGTTGCCAAGCTCGACGAACAGATCAACAGCCAGCTGATCAACTGCCAATAAACCCGAGCGAGCTACCAATATTTCACCACATTACCAGCTCTACAGTGGTTTACGTTTTTTAATATAGAATAGCTCCTGTGAAAGGATGTGATTTCCAGTGAAAATAAGCGCATTTGGCGTGCTTATTTTGCCCAGGTCCTTGGCAGTACTGTCACGAGTGCATCTGGATTTGAAGCACCAGGTTAAATGAACAAGTTGACTGTTGTCATATCATGATGAGAGTTCTCTCACTGCCGACAGGCGTGCCGGCAAAAGAATACTTGCGGAATGTTGCGCAAAGCTGTTTTATAAAGTAGAAGAAAAAACATCGAAAGTATGAGGAGACGACGATATTTACCAGATAACAATAAAAATTATATTGCACTCTTCAGATACAGTGATAGTTTTACCAACTGGTGAAAACGCGACCATTTAATTTCATCTATTTTAATAGTGGAGTCAGGAGGGAAATTCAGTGAGGTCAGTTTCCAGTATCGATTTATATGTTCACCGTACAGGA